CACTTTTCTACCCTTTTAGTTTCTTAGGCCTTGAAAATAAACTCCTAATTCTGACTTTGAATCAAATAGATTTCACTATTCGGTTAAAAATCACACACAGAAAATTACCCAAGCTCTACCAGATTCAGTTGCTTTGAGATCCTGAACCTCTCTGATTTTCAGATTTTCTACGTCCTTTCTTTAACGTAAGACCTCACGTAAGGATCAGTTTGCTGTCTCATTTTGTGAAGTAATTTGGGTTCTGCGGGCAAATTAAGTCGGTAATGCACTAATTATCCGTACTTATTATGCGCGGATTTATGCTTGGTCATGATAAATGCATACTTTCTTAATACAAGCCTGAACCTGCACTTAATAATATATATTGAGTTATTTATAAAGAGGGCTTGTGTTTTCTTTGCAGCTTCAGTGTCACTTGAATGAATCTACACTAGTGCACAAAATCAATCTGTAAAGTCGAGGTATTTATCGAAATCTTTCTCAAATAAATTGGACAGTGCCCTGAAATACAAACTTTATAATGCATGTAGCCAGAAGTATATAAAGCTTCTGATGTAGCACATTATATCCGCTTTTTCGGCATGCGCAAGCCGATACAAACTCGACGTCAGTACAACAAGAGTGTCAATTGCAAATGAACCTCAGAACGAAAGCTGGCAAAGCTTGCGTTAAGCCTTTTTAATTAATGTCACTTTACAAAATGACGGTGTGGCTATTGCAAGACTAGATTAATTATCGTTTCAAAAAATCATCTTATACTTTTGCTAGTGCCTTTGTCTTGTTTTCGTAGTTATTTTAGGGATGTATTTCCCTTTTTATCTATTATGGTTATATATATATTATATTTATATTTATTTATCTATCTACCGTTTAAGAAACGATTTATGTTCAGGCAAAATGAAAGCCCTTGTCAAGAAGACCAGTAAAACATCAATAGAACCCCTCTCTCGTGTACCTGCAGTAAGGTTGTGTTTACATCAAAAATAAGGTCTTCCGTGTGAACTGCTTGCTTGATGAGTCTAAATTTCACCTCGGCCAGTGTTTGGCCGAATTAGAAAAATGGATTTTTCAAGCTGAGATTTAATTACTTGTAACATGTCGGATAACTGGAACCTGATGTCCTCCATGATTGCTTACAAAGCGATCTCCGTATTCACAAGTCACACTTATTTGACACATCTGCGAAGGACTTTCACCTTCATAATGGCACTTCCTGATTTATCTTCCAGGTTAAAAGTTCCCCTTACAGCGTGTTTCTAAATCACTTCGTCTGTAAAAGCTCTTTTAAACTTCGGAAACAGCTTGTAGCGGCTACTGCTAATTTGAAAAGATGATGCGTAGTAGGGTTGCGCACTGCAAAACAAAAGGACTCGCGAGCGGATACCAAAGGCTATTGGTTTGAGACAGTCACTAACTAAGTTTTCTGTATTTATACGCCTTTATAGTATTACCAGAAAGAAAGAACTCTGAATCACTGATTTTTTCCTTGGAATCAGACAGATATTTCCTAGATAAACTACACTGAATAGCATTTGCCCAATTCGTGATAATGATGTCTCTCTCTCTCTTTCGACTTCTCTCTGAAAAGCGACCGATTCTACAACAGTGATCTGAATTTTCTGGGAGCAAATACTTTATATTTGATTGGTTTCTTTCCTCTGTCCTTACTTTGTTTCCTGACAGTTATCTTTTTATTTTGTTCTAAATAATAATCAATGTCGGCTTAGTAACCATACCAGTACATTACGAGTGCATGTTTTCTGAATACAAGCCCAAACTTGCGTTTTAAAAAAAAACCATGTATTTTAAGATATTTTTAGCGAAGATGAAACGGTGTGCATAACCAATATCCGAGGTTAACTCTTGTCGAAATCTTTCTCAAAGAGTTACCGTTTGCAAAGATCGACTTCAAGGACCGACAATTAATGCCCTACCTCCTGTTAAAAACATGTGCGGAGAGACGAAAGCAGGGAAAAAGAATGCAAGCACTAAATGAGACATCATTTCCGCACAACCGCGTACATTTAATACGCATACATTTTTTATAATCGAGGATTACTGCATGGTTGCATAATGTATGGGTTGTTGCCGAAATCAGGTTACATCAAATGATTTAACCACTAGTAATCGCCGGCTAAACTTCCCAAACAGCACTCACTATCAACTTTGTTTTATGGCTAAGGAAGAAAACGTCGTATTCTTTTATCGCAATAAAACAGGCCAAGAGCGGAATAAACGTGACGAGAAAAACAAGAGACGACATATGAAATGACCCTCGGAGCGATACTTGCTCATACCCAAGACATGAGTTGGAATTTAAAAAGACTGCCTAGCTGTCCCTAAAATAACACGAAAAGGGGTCCAGCGACATGTCAGTAAGAGGAATACCAACCGATATTTTATTGCGAGGAGCAAAGAAATGAAATAACCTATTTAATTTTTCTTTTCGTAGTTGTAAGCTTATGCTTTGGTAATAGCTCGCGAAAAGAAAAGGGAATCCTAACATTAAATTCTGGCTGTTGACATTGAAATCAAATGGAAATTGAAATGAAATTATAACCTGACACTAACTCTAAGAAAATAAGCCACATCGTACCAGATTTACAAACTTAATTTAGTAATTATAAGTGTACATGAACGTACTGATCATTCAAGCCGCCGATGCGATATCAGCACATGAGATTGGATGGAAATTTTTCTCTAGAAACATCAGACTGCGACAGAACATTGATTAAACAACAAAATCGATACCAAATATCTCGCGTCAGCTTTCGGATCACAAAGAGGACAAACCGAAATTGAACACAGAATTTACTAACATTTAAAAAGTAATACTAACTCAAAGAAAATAAGAAAGTAATAACGACAATGACCGAAATACTTAGCCCTCTCTCCGTCTTTTTTTGAACAATATGCTGTCTGCACCGATAAAACGGCTTTGTAAATGACATGGCTCGTTAGCAGGAAATTCAGTATCAACATAAAGTTTCAGAAATTATAGAAGTCTATCAACTACTGATTTTAGACCCAAAACTGTCTTTTCTGCTCTGTAAACTTATTTAGAACATACAAACGAAAAATATACGCCATGAAGTTGGTACTTACAGATGTTTGTTAGCAGTGACGAATTGCGGGTATTCTAACTCCTGGTTGAACTGATACTGAATGACTTTGCAGTCTCTTTTACCACGCGGAAACTACTATATGCCCATGTCTGCGTGAAAAACTTATAAGGCGTACAGCAAACTTGCCTCAACACGTAGCAGTGTTAAGCTAGAAAATAACTTTCAATTATAGAAATAATAAATGTAAATTACCCACTTACTTTTGTCCATATTAGGTGAACGCTGACCCAAGCTTACTCGAGCTCAAATCAGTTGCCCGCAATTTTGACGCCGTCATTTTTTTTTCCTTTGACAGAGTTTGTTGAGTTGCCGAAAATTGAGTCTTGATTTTCGTTTCTTTTTTTAGAGTTTCCTGCGTCAATTGATACTAGCCGTTTACACTACAAGCGCATCTGTTAAAATCTTATCTTTAAAAGGTATCTTAACACTAGCGTTGGATTATCTTAAATACATTCAATACATCTTTACAGAGCTCTTGAAGAGTGCTAAGTGAAATGCGGGTAGGCATGCATTTAAATTAAGAGACTCAAACAATAACATCTAAGACAGTATTCACTTCAATCAAGCATGAACACACGTGCGCCAAACAAGTGTAGAACTTGTCATCAAAAAAAAAGGAAGCTCCAAATCCTTTCCTGTTTAACATGCCACTCTTGAATTATTAGGTTTGACCTTTCAGAGTGACTGTAAGTTCTTTGCACATGTAAAAGCTAAACTGTGCAGAGCCAACAAATGTCTACACGTACTAAGAGTATGTAGAAAGGGGCGTTACAGCCAGATAGAAATTGATTACCTTTTCTATAGCATCGTACTCCCTAACTTAGCTTACGGGTTATCTTCAGAATCTTAGTGTTTCCAGCAATTTTTAGACCGAAGCCACAAATTACCTTTTATATCAGTGCCGTTAAAAATTAGATGATTGTATACTGCACAAACAGGATAAAGCGATTTTAGGAAAAGTTAAACATTGTGATAACCACACCCTGAGGGTCTGCTTTCCACAAGAGAAGATTGATTCAAAGTTCAAGTTTATGGTAACATCAACTGATGTCAATAAACCTGAGATTATGCCCTATGAAAGCACACAGGGTGACCTGCTAACAACAATCATGTCCCTGTTCTCTTGTCACACAATGTTCAACATTCAAGTACGCTTTTGTACTAAGTAACTGTAGATACTAGTCCAAAGTACAAGAAAGAACATTGAACAGTAACTAGTTGTGCGATTACAGTGTATCTTTCTCCGCAGACATACATACTTCATCATGGCTCCTAAAGCAAATCTTTGTAAATTGAGATAGCGCTCACAATAGTTCCCGAGTACAGTCTTAACGTGGTACTTGGGCATGAAACCGTTTCCGAATTCATGGCGTGAAGTCTTTTGAATAGTACCTTTTCGCTGCCGTCGCCGTTGTCAGCGAAAAATTTTAGTAATAGTGCGCGACGCTCTTAAGCAGAGTCTATTACGCAACTTGCCGGGTCGCACAGGATAGCCTTGAATTCTCGTGAAAACCGCTGGATAGTTTCTTAACAAAGAGACAGTTCCAGGACAGTTCCTGAAAATTCCCTCCAACCTGTTAAACATTACACGAATTTGCTGTTGTGGAAGGATGTCTTGTCTGGTTACGAATCACAAAAACAATGACAGCTCATCTTCTCTAAGGCCTCGAATAAAATCCCTCAAGTAGTAAAAAAATGCATCTTCTTGTGGGCGTAAATCCTCGTTAGCTTCAAGGAGACTAAGGACGCCACTGTTTGTCGGTAAAAGCGCTTTATACAGGTCGTTTATCTCCGTGTAAGACAGTATTTCCCAGAATGCCTGCATGTGTTTCTTGGGAATACCACTTTTCATAAGCGTGCACAAGCACGATGGCTTTATGCAGAGCTCTTGTCGCGCAAGATTAACCACCATACGGGAGATGTATCTTCCCCTATGACAGTTCCCATACCGAACCGCCAAAAGATGTACTTCACTTCCTCTTAGTAAGTAGCCTGTGCCAGGCTCTCAGATAGTATAGTGCGGACGTATTAAAAGGAGCAAAGCGAAAATAAGACGCGCGCGACTTGGGAAAGCGGGCAGTGGCGGCGAGAAAAATGGGAGAGAGAGCCTGTTAGCATTTCTTTAACGACCCTCTTCCGCCCACTTTTGTCACGTCTGGATTCGGCTGTCAAACCTGTTAACAGTTCAGTTAACTTCAATCATTCTCAAGTTTCTCGCGCGAGCATTTAGCGTGACGCGAACTCCGCCGCCCTGTCTCTCCCCAGCCCCCGCGCGTTTTTCGCATTTTTTCACCACTATCTCGGAGCCTGGATTGCCCTGGAACAGGCTACTTAGTAAGAGACTGATAGTCTCTCACAGCCCTTTCCAGGAATTGCCGTTCACTTTGGGTAATGAAATTCATAAAATCATTCACTAGGCATTCTTCGTTTGCTTCTAATGGAGAGTGAAGGAGAGTGAGCAAAGTGCTCCTACAGAAATGTACAGGTATGGTTTGGAGGAGTGCCGTCGAGTGAGACAAAATTCTACCCAGGAGGGGGTAAATTCGATTCGCTTCATGTAGCCTTACTACTGACAGGAAAGGAACAAACACATTTTCCCTTGTGAAATAGGTCTTGAATGCTTTTTCCCAAAACATAGAAGATATATCCTTCAGCAGATCTAGACCACCGGTATCTGTTTCGTCCTCGCCAACGAAGCAAACTTGTAGGTGATCCTCCACCACGTCTTCGCTTTCTTTGTATACCTGGAGTACTTCCTCCAGGATGCTGCCTCGAGTAACTTTAATATCACGAGAGAGCATCATATGCTAACAAGAGAAAGAAAATAACTTTAATAATTATAATTGTCTTAAATATTACTTTGATCGCGCCGGTGTATGATTCATTGCTATCTATATTCTGTAAACAGTGCGCGAGTTTTAGTAAAATGGATGACAATACGACAATGTTCTCTTTCTCCTCGACGTGCACCATAGTCATTAAATTTATTCAGTAGTGCACAGTTTTTCCTCCATGAATGAAGGAATGCAGAAGTAAGAACAAATCAAGGCAAGTTTGAATTACCTGAGTTAGCTGCAGTGGATGACATCGCAGATGGCAGCATGGTGGCCATAATTTAATCGCTGTCCAAACCTCCTTTCCCGCTAATACCGAAGGAAAAAAGCAAAATAATCAGAAGTTAGGTGACAATATGAAATAGTCAATGGTGTTTGTACATTTTTAATCGAAAGAAGGACGTAACGGGAACTAAAAGTGAGCTCATTCCCTTAGAAGTCATCAGTGTCCCAAAAACTTAACAAAATGATGTCAAGGTCCAATCAAAAGAGTCAAAAAACAATTAGAGTACAGGAAACTGATAACTAAGGTAATCTTCCATCAAAAACAAATGGTAAAACATGAATAAAATAAGCACAACTGTCTCAAACAACCCACCTCCTCTGCTTCCATTGGGTCATCTTGAACAGTCTGATCTAATTCTACGTCCATTTGGGCCTGTTCGTGAAGTCCTCCTAGAGATATCTGGGGTACAAGAAAAAACTTTGAAAATCCTAAAAACTACAACTTCTTGTCTATTCTCTAATTCGCCTGAGTTATAAATAAGCGAGAGAACGTCCTTCACATGTATGCCAATTGTGCGCTAGCTGACCCTCCTTTTAGATCTTTTAAGTGTTCACCTATGAATTTTCAGGGGCCTTGAATTTGGGAGCTACTGCGCTTTGGCAGCTTTACTAGGTTATTGTTTATTCTTAGCTCATTAGTATCTTTTGATTTAAACTTCTATATGTTACGTAACCTTCATTCTATAGTATCTTTAATTTACTGATTTCTATGCTGTGTAATTTGTATTTTTTAAAAAATTAGCTACTTACCCTTTGTCTACTATTATCCTTTGTTTTCTGTTCAACTTGTTATGTAACCTTTGTATATTTAGTGTTAATTTAGTAATTGTTGTACTGAGTATATACTAAGTCTTGTTTGAAGTATTATTATTTGTAACTGATGAAGGTCCTTTGACCGAAACGTTTTATTTATTAAACTTTATTTTTCATCTCTTTTTGATCATCCAAACGTTGTCCACTTTAAATCTTCTTTAACTTTTTTTTATCATAATCGTACACCAAAATAGTGTGGACACCGGAGCGTGAACGTGACCAGCCGGATGTCTAATAACGTATTGTTTGAGAAGCTCAGTAATGTTTGAACCATGGTATAGAAAACGGCCATTTCGATAAATGAGTTTGTCAAATGGCCTGCACGGAAAAGCACGAAGCTGCTTATTCGCGAAAATTTATATGTGTAAAAAAAGCAGGATTTTTACATAAAAAGGCAGCTTTCTTACAAAAATAGGGACTTTAAGATCCAACGACGCGGACGGCAACGAAAAACGTCAAAAAAAATAAAAAATAGATTCGGTAAGCAAAACATCAACTTCACGCTTTTTTGTACATTTCTTTTCTCGTTTTTGCACGACTGCGACGTGAAAATGCCTAATTTCGCGTTTTATGGTGGACGTAAACAAGCAACGTCGAAGTTTTATTTTTCTTTCTGTACTTGGATATGGTCCGAAAGAATTCAATTCCAGGAGGGTTCGCCTACATTTGACAAAGTAAGTGGGTAGGAATAATTGCGATTAAGACTGAAAGAACGCAAATTCACTTTTTAAGCGACGTTCTCATTGCTGTCGCGTCGTTGAATCTTAAAGTCCTTAATATGTTTTGTAAGAAAGCAGCTCTTTTACATAAAAAAGCAGAATTCTTACATAAGAAAGCAGCTTTTTTACAGATATATTTTTGTAAAAAGCAGATTTTTACCCTTATTTAGTGTTAAAAAAGCAGGATTTTTACACAAAAGAGCAGCTTTTTCACAAGAACACATTTTTGTAAAAAAACAGAATTTTTACAACCGCATAATTGTAAAAGAGCAGCTTTTTTACATAACAATGACGCTTGTTACATGCCTCCTAAAATCAAATTATTTTTGATCTTCTAACAGTTAAAGGACCAAAAACTCGCGATCGAGTAGTGTTTGGATGTTCGGCCTCGGAATGCAATTTCCACTGTCGGCCACAGCTGGCATAAATTTCTTACAATTTCCTTTCAAATTTACACCAGAAATACGAACACCTGTGGCCCTATAACATTTTTACCTTTTGTTTTTAAATCTCTATTCTAAACATTTATCTCTGCACTATTTCATTACATTGCCCATATTTTACTTTCCTTTCAATCAAGACTAGGGGTTGTCACTTTTTTCTTTTGGTTTTTGGGGGAGGGGGAGGGGGTGTCAAAATATTCTGTATGATGTGGGGGATATGAAGACAAAATTACCCCATAAAAAATATCCTCTACCCCCTTGCAGTTTACATAGTGAATGTAGCCTAAGTTTAAGGAAAGCCATGACGTCATGGTTCCTTGAACAGCCATGATCAGGAGTCAACCCGATTGATAGCCATTTGGTAAACAGATAAGTGAATGTATTCCTTTGAAACTGTAGCAACATTCTTGTGCATTTTATTTATGGGTCCAAGATACATACATAACCTTTATTTCACCTCAAAGTTTAGAGTAGCTTTAATTCCTACAATTGCTTATACAGTCGAATCCCTCTAATGCTCGCACTGAAGGGACATAGCGAAGTGTCCATATTAGAGAGGTTTCTGTATAAGGAGGTCACTACGTTGACGTCACTTTTATGACTACATTTGTATTTTAAGTGTTCTGTAGCTAAAACCATTTTCACACTCGTCTTTAAACTGCATTTAAATTTATTAATTCACAGTACAAAGGCACTGTCTTTCAGTAGCATACAACATTGTATATCAGCGAGCTACAAAGTAAGTACAGTCGTAGACAAATCACTGTTTCAAAACGAAACGAGCTACAGCGCAATGCTGCATGTAAAAAGTTGTAAGTTAAAGCACAAATCTGAAATCGTCTTTCGCTATTTTGCAAGTGCAGTAAACAGCAACTAGAGTGCAAAATGCAATAAAAAAGATCTTTATGCTATCTGTAGTTATTCAAGCCATAAAAAGGTCGGTTTTGTTCCTCTGTACACCTTTCCCAAATTTTTGTTTCATATACAGCGACTGGGCTTCACCTTGCATAGCTCATCAGCCAGACTGGATTCACCCTGTGCAGCTTCACCTGATCACCGCTCTGTCCGTAATAAACAGGTTAAGTTTATATGAATTTACTCTCTGGGGCCGAGATTTAGAGTCCGTTGTCTGTATTAGAGAAAGTCGGCATTATATAGTCTATTGAGTTTTTTTTTAAAGAAAATATATTAGAATTTTGTCAGGACATTGGAAACTGTCCGTAGTAGAGAGGTGTCCGTACCGAGAGAGATTCGACTGCCTTCGAAAAGAAAAAAAATAAGATGTCTAAAACTGTTGTAATACAAACGAGTGAAACTAGTCAAATGTATCAAGACTTTTGTGTACGTCTCCGGAAAACTACTGTTCCTTAATTCGTCGGGAAGATCATTTTATTGCTTTGCGGAGAAAAAATGAAAAAAAAGTGTAGTCCATAGGTAGTAGTTCTAGGCTTACTAAGAGACCACACGTGCCGGGGGGGGGGACTCCGCATATGAAAGGGGTGGGGATGCTCGTCGGAAATTTTGAATTAAACCCCTAAAAGAGACCGATCCGGGCGTAGCCCAAGCTTTTTTTGACCCCTAAACGAGACTATGTAAAAACACAGACAATACACATATTTTTATATTTTTTTCACATGCAACCCTAAACGAGACCTTCACGGCTACATATGATGGCGTTTTGCCCAGAACACCCTAAGTGAGACCAAAATCCGAAATTTACACCCCTAAGCGAGACGACAAGCATCCCCACCCCTTTTATATGCGGAGACCCTCCCCTGGGAACTCGTGGCTACGCTACCACGCAAATTATGGTTTTTACAGAAAGCTATGAATCATTACCCTTTATTTTTTCTGCCATCAAGTTAATGACACCACCTCCACCCCAAACCAACCAAAATAAGAAGAATTTTAATACGTACCCTACGTTCTTTTTTACGAACAGAAAATACGTTTTGTGGCTGTACGTATTTCACGAAGTCTCCAGGAATACACAAAGGGATTGAAAGATGTATTTAGAAAAATTGTTGCTATTGCAATATAATGAATTGTTATGGAAACCCTGTCATTAAAGTAGACATAAAGGAAAGGCAAGCTACAAACGAGAAGGAAAATAAATACAAGAAAAGTGTTCAAAGCTGAGTTCTTCAGCCTTTTTAGGCTGAAAATGTTGGCCAGTTGCTCGGGGTGTTGATACTGAATTCGGATCTGATGATGTCGCACGATGAGGTGGATATTTAAATAAATTGCGAAGTTTACCACTATAACTACACAAATTTTTATGGCTATAAATCTGCCAAAGGTTTCCACTTGCCAGAAATACATTGGTATAAAAAATCCCTGAAACAACCAAATACATGTTAAAACTACGATAACACGATACTTAGTTACTATGACAGCGTATCTCAAGTGTAAGCGGAGAGCAAGCAGTCGGTCCAACGCAATTGCTATACTGGTTCCCAGAGAAACTCCGCACAAAACGATGGCCGAACAGTTCAAGCTTGAACACATCAGATGAAACGTTGCTAGTGGTAAATCATGGTTATATCCTGCAGAGAGTACAATCGACAAAAGTAAGGGCTGTACAATGAAGCCAAAGGCAAAGTCTGACAAAGCAAGGCCTGCCAATAAAATATGAGCTGGTGAATGTAAGGATGGAGTCTTGAAGATTGTTATCAAAATCGCAGCATTTCCAAGTAGAGTCATAACACAGAGGGGAATGCTGACCAAGAAAACTGCAATCGCACGGAAGGCGTTCGCTTGAAAATGTATTTGCTGGCGAAGACAAATATTGTTTAGGTTAAAATTGCTGTCCATATTTTTTTACTTTCTTATGTTGTTTCCAAGCAAAACACTCTATCGTTTAGATATTTTCCTCACGAAATTGTAGCCACACCTGCAGCTTTTATGAAATTAAATACGTTTTTTGATCAAAGAAACTGAACAACATTCATTTTAAACGTCATTGTTTTCTGATTTCAATAATGGCCTGCAACTATACACAAGATGCATTCCACTTCAAGCTCTGAATTTGATTACTTGATAGGCTGACATCAAGACAAACGGAAATTACATTTTGTTAGTACTGTTATTCATTGTTCTGTAGTTTTCAAAGAGTCAATAAATGAAGAGTGAGGCTAAATTAAAAACTCGGTAAAAACACTGAAATCTTAAATGTTTAGTTCCGTTGATTATTTGGTCTATTTACATAGTAGTAAATTAAACAGAACACCTATAACAAAGAATGACTTTATATTCTCCCAGTATAGAATGCTAGTCATACAATATAGTAAAACAACCACATTTTAGAAAGTTCGCTTTAATGTAACCGTCCTCGCAGATCTAAGCTCTATGGTAAAAATATTATTCTTTATCATGTTCACTTCACCTGTTTACAGGTTCGTTATCTGTTATTTTTACATGATATGTTCAAAAACCATCGTTAAGCAAATAGCAACGTTCAAGATACTTAGGGGGACACTGTTGTTTGAGCTAAACGGAAACAACAATTTTTATTTTCCCCTAAAAATCTAATTCTATAATGTTATTTTGAAAAATAATTGAATTAGTTCTGTATGCAAAATGTTACAAATCAGGGTCACAAAATATGGTCTCTTGTCCTTAATAGGGAAGCTGGAGGAATAGCTTTTTGTCAACCACTACCCCTTGCTACCCCACCCCCCAGGTTAAAACTAGTCTACAAGTAGTCCCTCATTTTCCCTCAGGGATAGTAGAGTGAGCGAAATGCGTGCGCGAGTGACGCCTTTTTCGCGTGGGTTGATTTTCACACCCTCTCACGTTTCGCTCGCTTTAAAATCGCCGATGGAAAATGAGGACTACTCGTAGTCTAGGTTAAAACGTGGTAGCTCTAGTTTACATGAAACGTTCACGCTTGATTCTCAGTTTGAGGCTGTTCAACAACCTGCCCAGTCTCCTCCTCAGGCGCTTCGTTCGTTTATTAATAGTTCAGTAAAGACAAGTAGTTCATTAACCACAACATTAGTTCAGTAAACATACACCAGCATTTTTGTGACAAAAATTGTTCAATAACCACGTATCACTTCAATAATCGAGCCAGGAGCCTGGGGTCCTAGGTTCTGTTTATATTACTAAGGGTAGTGGTCAATGGTTTTTATTGCTCTTGGTAAGGAAGTGGAGGCGGGGGGGGAGGTTTTTAATACAGTAGTCGTTATAAAATAAATCACAATGATAACAAGTAGTCCATTGTTATTGCTTCATACTCAACATTGTCCTGTAATCAGCTTTTCAATAATGTAGCCATTTCTTATGGTAGTTCTTTCTTCTCGGCTACACATATATTCAACCTACTGCTATCACTGCTCTTTTGATCCTATGGGTATTATTTGTCTTGCATGTTCAGTTATTAGACAGTAGTGGGGTTTAAGGTTTTGTGCATGCACTTATTTTTAATTGAAACATCGATGCTTTGTGGCAATTTATACTCTTGGACATTCCTGAATTTTTCAAAGTTTTTTTCCTATGACTATTTACGGTTATTATATGGTCCTACATTCTTTTTTAATTTTCGTTTCAATGACTTTTTAAGTTTTTTTTTTTATGGTTCTCTGATATTCTTGTATTTTTAAAGTGAGCATAAGCAATTTATTATTATTCACATGACTGTTTAAGGTTATTTTATGATTTCATTGTACTGAGAGAGAATATTGTGAAGGTTCATTTTAAGTAAGTAATACTTATTCACCAGAAAAAAATTCTTATCTTGCCATCCAGAATGCTGAAGAGGTGGTGCAAAGGCAAAATATGGAGCATGCACTAAAGGGTGGTAACAGACAGAAGAAGAAATATACAGAATGAGAAGAAGGAAAATGGATGATCAGAATAAAAACTACTTTATTATGAATATTATCATCGAGAGTACCAGAGATGTCTGGGTACGAGGCAGCACCCTACCTTTACTAACCTCATGCAAAAGAACGACGACCTTTGTTCTGCTACAAACAAATTAACTGTTTTGTCGCTGCACGAATTTCTCGAACTCTCCAACAACAGAAGAGGGGATTGAGCGATGAATTAAGAACGATCATAAATGTAACTATATGATAACCAGCATAGGAAACCTTTTCACCTCTTAAAACGACGCATATATACGGCATGTAACTAACAAGAAGTACAATAAATACCAGAAAAGTGTTAACAGCTGACTTCTTCAGTCTTATTAGTCTGCAAATGATTCCGGAATTCTCCCCAGGCTGTTGTTGGTGAATTTGTAGTTGATGGCGCCGAACAATGCGATAAATATTCAAATAAATTTTGAAGTTAACAAGTAGTAATACAACAAGTGCTATGGCAAAGATACTTTCAGTCTTTTGACTCTTAGTGTAAAAAAGTAACAGAGAAAGTCCCTGAAGCAACTGAAGCAGCCAAATTGTAGTTATAACCACGTTTACACGAAACTTAGTCACTATAATAGAGTACCTTAGGTGCAATCGAAGGGCCAGGAGTCGGTCTAACGCAATAGCTGTGATGGTTAACACAGAGACTCCTACTAAAACACACGCCAAAGCACCAAACCCTGCACACAGAAAACGAAACGTTGAAGGGGATACACCAAAGCTTGCAGAAAGTACAATAGTTATAACAAAGGGTTGCATAAGTAGACCAGTAGCAAAATCGGAGACAGCAAGATTTGCCAATAACATATAAGCTGGTGTATGCAAAGACGAAGTTTTCCAAATTGTTAGTAAAATTGCAGCATTTCCAAGGATCACTGCGGGACAGAAAGCCATGTGGACCAAAAATATTGCAATCACATGGACGGCGTTTTCTTCGAGATGCCTTTGGACACGAACACAATCACCTTCCAAAAGAGGATTTTTATATTCAAGAGTAAAATTACGATTCATTTTGATCAATTTTCTAGGCTAACAGACTAGTTTCTTGTCTATAAGAAATCATATGCATACCTCGCCTGGTGTAAATGAGTTCTTCAACATGAACTATGTGGAAACTGATTATCAACCAAATGAATTTTCCATTATTGTCTGTTTTATTAATTGATATGCGCCGAATATACATTCAAACAAAGCACAACAAAGGCGTCTACTCGGGCTTTTCGGTTTATTTGTTTTCCAACAGTCGATTTTCGTGTCTGCGAGAAATCATAGCCGCACCTTGCTTGGTGAATTGGTGTAAATAAGTTCCTCAACAAGAACTCTAATCAAAATAATAATCAGCGAAATGAATAATCCATTGGGGTCTGTTTTATTGTTATATTTGGGTCGAACAACATCAAACAAAGCGCAGCAAAAGCGTTTAATTTTACGGACTTCTGTTTATTAACATATAAAAGGAAGAGTGCAGTGTCATGCTACGACGACTGATTTTTTGTTTTCTGTTTTCTCACCACTGGAATATTAATCAACAAAAATCTTCATTAATTAAACGACAATTTTATTGAGTTCTGATATATGCTTTCTTAACGCCTGATGGCTCTTTGAAAAACTCAGGATACAATTAATAGCAGTAAAAATTGTCATGTTTGACCCGCTCTACAATGGTTACTTTGGGGAGAGGGCGAGGGGGTACTCCCTATAATGCCCTATAAGGGGAGGGTGGAGAAATCCGTCATTTGGTTCTGAAAAATGGCTAAGAGATGCATTTTATGCTGTGAAAAAGTCGGGGAAACGTTCTGGTTTTGTGATTTTTCAAGTTTTAAAGACAGCGCATTAGGTATGAGAAAGGGATTTATCAATAGAAGGTATACGAAAAGGAGTACCTTTTGCGCCAAAGATGGTATATTAAAGGGTACTTGGTTGGACGTCCGGGTGGGGCCTTTTAGTATAAAACTTTGTTGAGCACCCCTCGGGCCTTGGGGACAGTGGTGAGTGGCGTTTGTAGAGGCCTGGCTGTTATGGAGGAGGTAGGGTTGATATAGGAATTTTCGTTTCGGAAAAACTGCAAGAAATTAGTGCCGCAATTTTTTGTTGACAGTAAGCTTTATAAGATTATAATTGAATATAAAGTCGGAAATTAATTCTCATGAAATGTCCATTGTGTTTTGTTTATCAATATTTTCAAACATGTTGTCAAAGATTACCAAAAATATGGCATTTGAATTGAAACAATGCATGGCATCTAACAATGATAAGTTATTGAGTTTTTAATTAAATTCTAGGTTGCTCCTTTTATTTTTTTGTATAACCATAGAAAACTTCCTCGCTTTGAGAAGCTATTTTCTTGTTTTCAAAATAACGGAGCTACAGAGAGGGTTCAAAACTTCACCGAAAGCGCAGGTTGAGAATTCAGGAAATTTATCTTTTATTTGAATCAGTAGTGCTGGCTTTACATGAGGTTCCTAGGTCAAGACATTGAAGGCAACTTCACGCCAACTTCAATTTGATCTTAAATTAAAATGACGCTGGGAATGTTGTAAACTCCCTTTAGGAAAACTAAAATTTTGGTCACAGAAATAAAAGTTATTTCAATCTGCTTAACCCTTAGGATGACAATATAAAAGCCAAGAATATATGGCGAAGAAGAATTTAAATAAGCACAAGATAAGTGTTGAAAGCTGACTTCTTCAGTCTTGTATGGTTGATCTGAAAAGTTTCTTGCCGTCTTTTTTGGTTGTTGATGTTGAAGGTGGACCTGACGGACTTTAAAATCTAGAAATACTAGTAAACCAAGTAAAATGCTCGAACTTCGAATTCTAGGTTAGCCACTCTTGTTGTCTTTCCTGAGACAGGTTTTAATTGCAAGCATCCGTTTATTGATTAGCAGATTGTCATAACTGAGCGCGCTGTACCTAGCGCACAGCTCCTAGGCCTGGGTTCAAAGTTGTATCCTAGCAACATGCAGCGCATGCTCAACAAAGATCTTACTAGATTACTGAAGAGTCTTTCTTGAGAACACCAAAATCGAGCACACGGAAAGACTCCTCTCAGTGTGGGGTGGTGATTCGCAAACACTGGAAAAAACACAGGTAGTAAACTATTACTATATCATTATGGTCGACGTAGAAGAGAATACTACTAATACTCATTAATTGTAGTGAGATTGTACGGGACAAAAACGGCAGCCCATAACTGCTTACGGATCTTAAGACACGTTTCTGGCATCCCCACAGATTTTGCAGGGGCGAATAACATCATCGTCAACCTGCCAAAGGAGTGAGCCTGGGATCTAGATCGTTCCATTGCAGACTTGAATCTTTCATTGGAAGAGGAAACCATGCAACGAGCACAGATGCCGTAAAATGGAAACAAATTGCACATTTTTTACTCATCAATTTGCATAAAGTGGTAATTTAGGGACCGGTCATTATTTATCACCTGGGGGGTCGGAGGAGGATTTTGGGGGGATCACTTGATTTTTAGGAGAACAGAGGGGGGGATCAGTCGTAACTGAGAGCCCAAAAGGGGGGATCACTGAAAATTTTGGAAGGATTCAGAGGGGGGACCACTCAAATCTGCTTGAACAATGCCAGTTTGAAAGCATACAACATAAATGTGCCCATTCTGCTGGGAGATGATAGCATTTGCAATCTCAATTTGTTCTAACACAACTTTATTTAAAAAACGGAAGTCTGTCACACTGGCGAATGTGTGCATTTCAATTTATATCGAGAAAGCTTTGTTTTAACGCTTTTATATTTTTCCTTTTATAACGCGCTCATGACTTAGCTAATATTCATCTTTAAACATGACAGGTGAATTCTAAATTGTGAACTATATAAACTTCTGATAACTGAAACATTGTAAAAAGCGTGTTTGTTTAAACATAAACCATTTATCGCCTCTCCAGGAATGGGCGTCCTGTGTCAGCTCTATACTAAATTCGATTCAACTGCTTCATCTGCCTCATCTTGAGCCTCATCATCCCATTCAACAACTTCATTTGCCTCTTGAGCCTCGTCATCCGATTCAACAGCAACATTTAGTCCCCTTCGGCAGGTTGACCCTGGACTTTGTGCCCTTAAAATGGCCGCTACTTGCTCTAGATTTTTTGCTAGGGTCGTGCTAAAAATACCCTTTTCTAGTAGCCATAGCAAAGGGTCTAGATACAAACGCCTTGTTAGTTTCTTAGCAAAGTCAGCATTGATGCTATCTACAGGAGTAACTCTATCATTCTCTTCGATTGAACCGAAAATTTGCCCCGCGACCTCGATTGAGGTCAAGTTTCCTAAGAGATGACGTGCCCTCTGCTTGGGTCGCTTGTTCTTTGGTTTTTCGGACCTTCCTCTTATTTTCCTTCTTTCTTCTTGACATTGTTGATTTTCTCGCGCACAAAGGAAACTTCTTTGA